GGGCATTTTGGGAAAAACCTACAGACCAGGGTATGTTAGCCCAGTGAAGAGAGGGATCGCGATGCCATTAATGGGTGGAGAAGACAAATACGAAACTCCATCGTTAACTTCACCTCGTTGCAAACTCTGCATATTTCAGTCAAATTACGAATCTGCCCCTCCCGCCACTGGTATATCTCAATACTAATCAATTATCGTAATTTCTTGTAATATGTCAATAAAGGTCATAAATTAAGGCTCTTGATTCCTTGAATTTTATTATAATGCAAATAAAAACGGTTTTATTCTATGATTTATAATTTTATACTTATAATTATATTCGTGTTTTTCATTCACACGATGCTTCTACCGCTAAACTTTTAACTACATTTACACAAGGATCACCAAAAGTAACAGTCGAAACTCCAACACTACAAGTCTTGAACCCAAGGCAAGCATTTTGTAGGATCGAAAGTGCATTATCACTCTTGCATTCGCCATGTCTAAAATTACCACATTGCCCTTGCGGTGTTCCAAAGCTAGCAAACTTTATCGAGGAGATAACTTGATTAGGGTGAGGGCATTCTAGGGAAACTTTTGGTTCTGGTTTCCGTTTTCTCCTTGACTTTTCTCGACTCCATGATTCGATAGAAGATGGGTGTGATTCGGACACATGGGAACATAAACTTTGTAACACTTGTGTTGTGAAAGATATTTTTGTAGGATCACCACCGATTTCTTCAAATAACACCATAACATTCCCACTTGATTTTAACCATGATCGAGGGACATGATACCTACAAGATTTTATACCAATGAGATAAAAAAATCATTTTTAATCTACTGTTAAGGTTTTTTTTGTTAAAATACAAAGTACGATTTTGGTCATTTTTGTAATTAACCTAAAAAGAAACTTCACTTACAGCTTTTGCGAGGGTTTCCCACAACCTTTGAGGCATTTATTTGAATTATACGACCCTTTATAACTACAATCCGAACAACCACTATTTGGAGCAATATAAGATGGCCAATAACGCCCGATACTTTGTCCATTCACCCATAACTCACCTTTTCCCATTCCACTTAAATCTATTGCAATTGGATCATCACCCGAAGGAGCATCAAAGCTTGTCTGTTTTCACATAGTTTATGAGTAAAACATAAAGTGAAAAGTTCTATACATATATGATATTAACTATTGACTATTGAGTATGAAGATTAAATTAAATGGTTCTATAAAAATTATGATATTACCTTGTACCAAGTCAAAGGTTGACTTTTAGGCACCCCGGACACCCAAAGTGTGGAACCACCCGTGTGTAGCCCTAGTCCTTCTCCTTTAAGTCCAACCTAAATGTTAATATGTTAGAAACTATAGTCAAAGGGTAAAATCGTCATTTTATGTCTACCTGATATGTCCACTGCATAGATGAAAGGTCAATAGTTGAACCGTTCTTTAACCCTTCAAGCTCAACCGGACCGGTTATACCGGCACCTGTTGTATCAAAAAATGCACCGTAGTTCTGTACAAGGAAATTACATAAATACCCTTCTCAGATTTCATTCTTACTAATGAAAATCATTAAATTTTACAAAAGTCAAACCTTGAGTCCCACGGTCAAACTTAGCAGATCGAGTTTGTTTATTCCTGGTTTGAGTGTAATAGGAATATCCTTGGAAACAGTAGGGTTATTAGCATTACCAATCGCACTACCTACAATATAAAAAAATTCATCAAGAAAAATAACCGAAATTTTTTTTTTTTTTTTTTTTTGTTACTTGGTCAAACCTGCGAGTTGACCGTTAACGAACAAATGAAGAACATGGCCGAGTGATTTCACATGTAGAACTGTTTGAGACTCGTCGCCATTACTTTCAGCACTACAAGATATCCATAGAAAAAGATTTAGATTCGAATAATTCAAATACTATTTAACTTTTTAAAAATTAAAAATTGTTATACCTTATTGAATACCACAAATAATCACTTTGATCGGCTGTTGTGTTGATTTGCTCTACTAATCCCGGTTTTTTAAATGCATTATTACTCGAAATCCCAATAGGTTCACTAACATAACTCCAATCAGACGAAATTTCTTCTGAAGCAATTAATTCGTTTCCAATATTTTTAGCTACAAATCTTCGAATTGTAGCCATGGTGTTTATCTGCCAAAATAGACCAACTTCAATTTCAATTTCAAAACTCTAATGAATTCTAGAATTTTTGTGGGAATTTGGTAAGTTATATAAAAGATTGTTACAAATGCTACAAATTTGTATCGTATTAGTTTTGTAATTTATTAAAAAACCCATATGAAAAATGAATTTGATATTTGATATATATACGATAGGGTTGACTATAAAAGTCAAACGAATACGAACCTTTGCAGTATTGAACGCTACATTCTTGCAATCGGGCAAGATGCTGACAGACCAAGCGGGTAAGCGATAAGAATTGCCATTGAAGGTCACCGTTGCATCATTTTTCGTGTCAACATTTGCCAAAAAAGCAGCACATGTTGATGATGTTTTATACACACTAGCCTAAAGCTCAAAAAAAATTATGTTAGTAAAGGTACAACGGGTCCCACCACATGGTCCACATCATTAGTTCAATAAAGTTGCATTTCTTACACTAGATATACTTTCTAAGTATACGGTGAGATAACATTTACGTCTTTTGCACAGACAAAACATCAAAAGTGAGTCGTACCAGTTCCAGTCTAATACATGCCAAAAGCTGTATAAAACTGTAATGTTCTGTTCTGTCTTGTCATGTGTAACAAATGAGGTCTAACAAAAGTGGACTTACCTCTAGATTGTTACCAAGAGAAGTACTTGTTGGATCGATTGCCACCATCGCGTCTTCACAAAGCTTAATCGCCTTATGTAACTCTTTTAAATGACCCCACTTAGGTTGTCTAGGTGCTCCTACACCATAATACAAAAATCAAAAAACAACTTATAATCAACTAAACAACCTTTAACAAATCAAGAAATAACCATCATACCATATTCATCAAGTGGAGCATCATAATCATAACTTGTTGCGATAAACGGTCCGCCAGTAGAACGCCCAAAATTCGTCCCACCATGGTACTACACATAGACATATATATAAAAATAACTACACATTTGTTAAAAAAAAATCTAAAAGTGAAAACTTATGTATAAAAACTTATAAAACTAACCATATAATAATTCTGAAAGGTTCCACCTCTTTGGTAAAAACGTGCAACCGAAAAAGCAATATCTTCCACGGGTCTATAAGGCACGGCCCCACCAAACGAAAGAAACCATCCGGTCCAATTTTCGGTCCACATTGTGGGTTTATTTTTAGAATTTGGAGTGTACCCATCACAATAAAACCCATTGCATGTGTCTATCTATGTTCATAAAAACAGAATGTGACACCACATGTTAGTCTTTTTTTTTTTTTGAAAGAGGACACCACATGTTAATCTTGATTAACAAAAGTCATTAAGTTAATAATTAAAGATTTTTTTTATGGTATTACAATTGGATCCGGAGCATCTTGTTGTTGACACATCACCCATGGCACTCCCGTGTCTAAAGACGTAGCCATACTCGCGGCCCATTTGATATAAGTTTGTGCAGCCGGACCGTAGTCTTTATCAATATTGCCATATTCGTTCTCAATCTATATAAAAAAAAAGTTTAATATTAAATATTAAACTCATGTTGGAGTATTTAAAATTGTGAGATATATCAGAGCCGGTGCACGGGTCGAATGTGTGAGCCTGGAAAAACCAGACTGACATTTGTTGGAACGAAACATTTTCAGAACTCTGCAGTTAAACGTGCTCACCTGAGATAAGATTATGGGTCCACCTTGAGATGCATAAAGATTCTCCTCCTTCATCATGCCAACTATTTTAGCTGTAAATCGCTTCATTTCCGCCTAAAACATTTGTGAATTTACTCAATTTAGTCAAAAACGTGTTGAAAAAATTAGGAAACTTTTGATATAAAATGAAAGTAAATAATAAACCTTATAAGGCTCGTTATCAGTTCGAAGCACAATTCCGGGTATGAAATGTAACCAGAGTGGAAAGCCACTGTTTGCAAAAAGAAATTAATGAGTATAAAGTATAAAAATCAAGATGTTGATTATTTTTATCATTAAATATTGAAAAAGAAAAAGAAAATAGAAAATTAAGACTAACCCATAATTCCATTCTGCACAAACGTATGGACCAATTCGAAGATGAACATAAAGACCAGCATCAGCCACCAATTTCACAAATTTAACCAAATCTTTTCTTCCTTCAAATTCATACTGTTGAAGTTCATAATTTTGTCAGGATTAATATGGAAATTGGGTCTTAATTATATATAAATACATTTAATTTCATCAACATAAATGCATAATCTTGATTAGATTCTGATCCAAAATAGCTAATTCAAGAAAATCTTGAAACTTCAACCCGAAAAAGGAAGTTTCTTTCTTGAATAAGAGTTATAAACACTTTAACATCAAGAAAAATTCCCCTCCAAAAAATGTGAAAGAGTAGAATTCATGTCTCCAAGATTCTTGTAAAGATCAAAAAACAACCTGGTTTTTAACAGGTTCATGCAAATTCCAGAAAACGTAGGTTTCGATTACATCAAGTCCTCCTTCTTTCGATTTCTGAATTAACCCTGGCCACATCTGCAATTTAATAAAAGAAAAAAGTTGGAATTTTTTAGTGAGAGAAACAGAGAATGTGTGTGTGTGTGTGTGAAAGTGTCGGTGGAGTGTACGGAGTATTACGTCAGGGGTGCTTCGAGGGTAATGAATAGAACCGGAAACCAGCACCCGCCGTTTGCCGTCGATCACCAATGCCCGGTGATCATACGTCACATTGACACCAAAAGCCACCGTCGCCGCCGCCGCCGCCGCCACCATAAACGAAACAATCAAAAACTCTGTGGAAACTCTCCTCATCGTTCACCCTTTTCGTAACCCAAATTAATCAAACTCTTGTGAATTTTTTAGGTTAAATCATCATCAAAAAGCTCTTTTTCTTAAAGCATTTGGTTTACTTTTGCTGGAAATACAATATTAAGTAAAGAATCAAAGCGAAATGTGAAGTGAAAGATGAAATTGAAGAAAGACAGAGACTGAAGGTTTTCGTCGGAGACGACACGCCACCGTTTTACGATGAGTCACGTGTCATCGTCATTTTCTTCAATGAAAACACAACTCAGTTTGTTGGTCAGTAAGCAAGAGAGACGCACATTATATAATTGATTAATTGAATAAAAATATATAAAAAAATATTTAAATTTTTATAAAATGCGACTACAAATTCGTCGCATTTCAACGATGGGGAGGGTTTTGTTTGGGAGATGAAATATACGATAAGGATCGGAGAACAAGGACAAAGTAAACGTTATACAGATTACTGATTATACAGACTCTGCAGACAACGTTGTTTTGGAATTTACAAAACGATCACTATTTTTTTGTTAAAATGATGTTGAACCCCCTAATCTTCGATTAGTGAACGAGTTATATCCCTGTAGTTTTAGAAAAACTTTAAACTATGATTAAAATTTCAGAAGATGGTTAGTTTCAGCGACTAAAAATGTAATTTACTTTAGTTTTAATAAACATACTCTTTTGGTTAAAGAAATTAAAATTAAAATTTTAGGTATTACTTTTTATTTAAATATTTATGAAATTGATTTGGGTTTAAATGTTTAATATTAACTTTATTAAGTTCTTTACTTTTGGTTGATATTTTTATGAAATTTATCAAATTAAATATGATATTTAGTTAAAGAATATTATATACAAAAAAGAAAAACCATACCTAGACATTGGAATCATTATATTTTTAAGTTCAATAATGTATTATTGATATACTCAGAATAAAATCATGGAAAAAAAAACTAAAGAAAACATTATATTACATATATGTATATGTATGTATGTGTGTGAACACCGACTTATACTACTGAGAAGTTCCACAAGCTAAGAGATAGGCACGACCAAGAGGACAAAGGGGTAGACACACTCACACACATACCAATAGATATTCGATGAACTATCTGCCAATAAAATTAGTTTAATCACATTTAGGTGTTGTTAATTCAGTATATCCTCTAATAAAGAAATTAATATCTCGATCAACTTCTGATATGTATTTAAAATACTTTTTAAATTTTAGCTAGAAAATATAAATGCATCCTTTTATAAAATCGTTTAATTTATATTTTGTTTAAATGCTATATTTAATTTCCAATGATTAAAAAAGCATCTATCAGCTATTGATTAACGTTAACATCATAGAGTTTTTATATTTATAAGATGTATTATTGGAGTTGTTTACAAAAAAAAATGAAAAAAAAAAAGGTGATATGGTTACCTTAAGGTGGTTGCACCTTTAAAGCAACAATTGATTGAGGTGGGTGGGTGGGTGCGTGTTGAAATTGGTATTGAAACTACTACTCTCTAATTTGATGTTGTATATGAGCCTATTCACCCAAACCCATCATATGGCTATGACATGATTCATGTGCAATGTGCGAAACACAACGATTTATTTGGGAAAAAAAGGTCAATAAGTCCCTACCATGTTATGCACCATAAGCTAATACTCTACATGACCACAAGTTATATTACGAATATATGGCCGACAAATCAGTTAACAATAAATACATTCTTATCAAGAATACGATTTGGATATGCGTTTCATACAATGACATATTGGTCGTGATGTGACTTCAATACATCAACATTAAAGTGATTATTAGTGATAATTTAAATATAAAAGATAGCTAAAAGATATGTTTCCACATTCGAGGTGATTTGTGTTTTGGGAAGTTATTGTGGAATAATGGAATATTGATCAATTTTGGCGTTTGACATTCATAGTTGGTTGTTGTTAAACCTTCGTTTTTGGCTATTTTGGCACAAAGTTTTCATGCGTGAGGAACCAAGGGTTTAACCTAATGGAGTATATGCTTAAAATGTTTTATATAACTTTGTATGTAAATTTATCATTAAATTTTAAATTCTATATTTTATATGTAGAATGACATGTATCAACATACATA